GGATTCCTTTGTGTGAATAGGTCTATCCCTCTATTGCATGGGGGGGGGGGGGGGAAATCTGGGTGCCAATTAAAGAGCCAGGGAGTCCTTGGTTACTCACTGTTGAGGAGAACGGCCGGTAATACAGTGCCATTTGCAGAATCTAAGCAGCCCAGATCTGCCTCCAGCCAATTTCTACCCAGATGAAAGACTCCTCCAACATTCAGAAGCAGGTGGAACATTTCCTCCAGGCTCCTCCTGCTTCCCCGAGAGTGGATTACCAAGCTTCTGTCTTGGTTGCCAGGTGCCTGTCATTTCCAAATGGCAACATCCAAGGAACCATGCACACTCCAGAAGAGCAAAGCAAACAGGTGTGTCTGCATTTCCTCCAGCTGAAATGCCCTGCGGGGACTTTGGCATGGACCCATTCCGAGCAAGGAAGATCTGTCAGAGCTTCAACTTAAAAGAGGGGATCTACAGCAGGCAGTGAGGAAGGAGGGAGAAAGGCTCTTATAGGGAGCAGAGCAGTCCAGAAGTTTGGATCTGTTTGTAAGTATCTGCTTCCTTCTCCTCCTCCTCGACTATGCATTGACAGCATATTCCGGTAGCAGCTGTTGCTATAACAGACTGAGCTTCTCTTAGCAACTAGGCTGCAAGCTAAAGACCACAGAGATGTTGTAGAGTGATGGGAAAGCAACATCGGGTGAATGTTGCCTACCAGGTGGTGGCAACAGCACAGACGGCCTGCTAGAGAGAGGAAACACCTTTCCCTTGGCCATGGATGGTCTGAGAACAACGCAGACAGGAGTTAGATCCCAGTGATGAGACCTCCTTTCACCCCACAGCAATCCCCTAGACCAGGGTTCCTCAACCTTGGCAACTTTAAGATGGGTGGACTTCAACTCCCAGAATTCCCCAGTCAGCCTTGCTCCACCCGTCTTAAAGTTGCCAAGGTTGAGGAACCAACGCAGACAGGAGTTAGATCCCAGTGATGAGACCTCCTTTCACCCCACAGCAATCCCCTAGACCAGGGTTCCTCAACCTTGGCAACTTTAAGATGGGTGGACTTCAACTCCCAGAATTCCCCAGTCAGCCTTGCTCCACCCGTCTTAAAGTTGCCAAGGTTGAGGAACCCTGGCCTAGACCACCTGCAGTGTGCCTTTGAATGTTAGCAGGACCCAAGAAGTCAATTTCTGCTCATCAGCCTGGAGCCACTTAGCTCATGATTGCCTACATTGGGGCCACAGATTTATTTATTTCCTTGATATATTTATGGCCGCCCATCTTAACGGAATAACTCTAGATGTTTAACAAGGCACACGGGGAAAAGAACACAATATTAAAGTCATAAAAAACACAGAATTAAAACAACATCAACTATAACAACTAAAGTTCAGTCTCAAAAACTGCCTCAAAACATAGAACAAGCCACGCATAGTGGGCTCCACTAATATTCTGGACTAGAACCTCAGGTTTTCATTGCCCAGAAGGCAATGAGGGAGGGGCCACCTGAATCTTAGAAGCTGGGATACAACACCCTGTTTGGTTCTGAAGCTTCCCAGACTTTTCCAAATGTTTTATTCTGTGACATATTGACCCTATTTGGGCATCCATTCAGTCATGTTTACTGTGTCTGTCTTGGAAGGGGACCCTAACCCTCTCTCTAGTGAACTTCCTTACTGCTCTAACATTTGCTCTAACTCTTCTTCAGAATTAAAACATTACCTTCCCCACTCAGTACTGAACAGTTTCCTTCCACTACCTTTGTTTGCTTTCCTCCAAACTGACTCAGTGGAGATTATTGTGGGTTCGAGGGCGGACTATAAATACAGAAAGATGCAGATGATCATATCGTGGTGGCCAGAGCAATAGGCAGTGGGAGGTTGCCACAAGGTTAGGGAAGAGCAGTGTGACCCACAAGCTGCTCTGGATTTCTTAAGCTACCAAACTTCTTCAAATGTCCCATTTTCAGAATTGAAAACAATAGAGTGAACTTCACCATGATGGGACCCATACAGAAGAAATTGCCTCTGGAGCTGAAGCAAGTAGTTTGCCCTCAAGGGATATGACCTGATCACAGAGCACTGGAGAAGACAGGAGATACATCCATTGAGGAAAACTGTGGGATGAATTCCAGTCCTTTCCTTGCTGAAGACAGAAAGTGTAATGATATATATTGTACTCACCTCTACCAGGTCAGAGTAGGAAGACTTACGATCAGGTTCAATGTAAGAGCCCTTAAAAATAGAGAATAGATTTCCTGTCATTCTCTTCCAAGGACAGTGTTCATTCCAAAGCTTGGGGTATCTCAACATCCAAGAGAAGGAGTGAAGGAAAAGCACATAATGCATGGATATCAACAATCTGGGGCAAGTATGTAGCAAAGGATGATCAGAAACTGGTCCTGATTTCCCAAGTATTTTCTGTATCACCTGGATCTCAACAGCCAGTCTCGGTAGCCTCCTATATCTTGACTCAGTCTGGCTGTCCCTTCAACTTGGTCAGAAGGACCTGGAGACATTGTAGTGCAGCTCAGCATTACAAGAGAGGGGTAAAGAAAGCTTTGTGCCTTTCTGGTCTCAAGCTTTTCCAAAGCCCTTCTTTGTTTGATTACTTGACTCCCTTCTCTGCTATGCTCTCTCGGCTACATCAGATGAACAATTAGCAATCTTGATTCTTAAAGTCATAATTGCAAGATTGATGTCAGCCTTACCAAGTGGACCAGACAGGAAACATGACCAGATGAACTAATTCTACTTTACTGTAACTCTGCATTAACAGAATCTTGCAAGTCTGAAAGTATAATTCTCCCCCGCCCCTCCATAACTCCTTTACAGCCCAAGAAACTAGGGAGGGTCTCTTCTGAGCCTCTTGCTCTGCCCACTATGCAGCTGTGGGCTATGCTGTCTCTTATCTGACCATTCCCTAGGCAGCATCTCTTGGCCTCATCTCCCAAGATCTTTCCCACATACCATTACACAATCTGATCATCTAGTTCAGCACTTTTTATACCCCATCAATGACTGTGGTGAAAAGGTTCTCCCTCATATATGCATAGATAGAATCTTGAGTCTTGACTGGATTTGGGGACCAAAGCCAGACATTTTTACTGGCCTATAGTAACTCCAATGAACTCAGAAGTGTTGGAGGTTGAGGCCTTCTGTGTGTGCATATTAGCATTCCTGAGACCAGAAATACAAGCGGAGCAAGGATTAGTAAAGTTTTATAACCAAAAGAAAATTTATTTACAGGTCAAATATTATATGGATGGGCAAAGCCTAGTCACTAGCTAACTATATCCTGCTAAGACAGAATCCAAAAGCACATGCTTTGTGCATCTCTGCCTAGGTAGAAAGGCCATGTTTAGATGAAGAACAGGGCTGTTTTGATTGATGGGGAACACACACATATCCAGTCCCCAATTTAAGAACCAATTCTGTTCCCAAGGTGTGTCCTTAAGTCAAATTTGTATGTAATCTGGAACAGTATCATTGTATAATACTGTATAAGTAGTACAGTGGTACCTCTAGTTACAAACTTAATCTGTTCCGTGACTCTGGTTGCAACTCGAGTTGGTGTCAAGTTGAGGTAAAGTTTCCCATAAGGTTCAATGTAAATACGGTTAATCCGTTCCGCCCTCCGAATGTGGTCGCACCACGAGG